ATCCACATCTACCTGAGTACTCATACGCAGATCTTTCTCACGCAGGTGTGCTCTTTCTCATACTCACCTACACTGAAAGCCACCCACGCACACATTCACTCATGCGTAGCTCATATCCAGACCAATATTTATCACGTCATGCGCACTCAGACACCTCACCCATATGCGATGCTCAACTTCACTCATACGTTGACCCACTCAGACTCAGCATCAAGCTCACTCATATCGAGACTCACATGCGCTCGGTATTCTCATAGTCAGACTTGTTCACACAGAGACTCATTCATACTCAGACTCACTGCGATGTAGTAGGCATGGCAGTTGGATATCCTACGGAGGAGCCGCGATGGGTATTCCCTGGCCCGTTCGCGCTCATATGGTGGGGACTTGTGAGCCAGAACGCCAGTTTGGGCCCAGTAGACGAGTCTCCTTTGACATCCTTTGCAATCACCGCGATGCAGCAGGCATGGCACTTGAGCGTCCCCAAAGGAGTAGTAACGGCAAACCCACTCATACATATAGCTCATCTACATCTAGACCCACTCGTACGCAGTCATTCAGATTCGTTCACAAATGCACATTCCTAGAAATCTAACGCGCTAGAACTCGATACACATATGGGGATCTCCGCGTTGAATCTATCGAAGACGCCTACGGCGAATCATCGCCGCCCCCCTGTCTTTTAGAAGCGCCTATGTGGCAGACCGTTGCCGCCAGAGCTCGGCTAAGCTATCGGAGTGTGTTCTCCAGTGGAAACCCTTCAGGGAACGTGTGGGAAAGAATGAAGAAGAGGAGGAGAGGGAGGCATACCAATAATAGGAATACTGCAAAGAAGAAGAGTCAGGAGACGAATGCTAATACCAATGCTGTTAATACTGACATATGAATCAAATCAGGATGTTATTTCTACCGCTACTATTCCTACTAATACCACCACTACTACAACTCGTAGTAGTAGTAGTAGTAGTAGCAGCAGTAGTGGTAGTAGTAGTAGTCGTAGTAGTGGTAGAAGAAGTAGTAGTAGAAGTAGTAGTAGTAGTAGTAGTAGTAGTAGTAGTAGTCGTAGTTGGAGTAGTCGCCGTCGTCGTTGTGATAGTAGTGGTAGTCGTAGACGTAGTAGTCTTATTAGTATTATTCTCATTGTTCGTATTATTATTATTAGTAGTGGTAGCAGTAGTAGTAGTACTCGTAGTAAAGGTAGTAGCAGTAGTAGTAGTAGTAGTAGTAGTGGTAGTAGTA